ATTCATTAGGCGTTGTTTGAAGATGCTCAAGAGGTTTCATTCTTTTATTAAGAAACGTGAAAGCCTAAAATTAAAAAAAAAAAAGATTATTAATTTTTGTACGTGACTAAAGAAATTATTTAACTTGCAACTTGCCTTTTGAGTTTCCTGATGTTCAATGTATTCAAGATACTGTTGTTTGTAAACAGCATATAAAAAACTTTTATGATTTTTAATCAAAGGCTTAGCGCTCAGCTTATCAACTTCCGCCCAATCTCCATCTAACATATAGAAATAAATAATTATAAACATTTGTAAAATAGAACTTTAATTAAATATATATTACCAAGGATCGCTTTTTTCAAACGCTTGAATTCAGCAACGCGTTCTTCTTTTTCGTGCCATTTCACATTCGCCTCATCATAAATGGTCATTTTTGATGTGTTATAACCTTCATCCGAAAGATATTGAGTTATCATAAAAATTATATCCTGTTATATACAAAGAGATGAATATCAATGATCATACGCAAATATTGATAAAGATAATAAATTATCACCTCGCGTATCTTAGGATCTTCAGGATTAAAAATATCCTCAGTAGGTCTAATACACTTTAAATGCGCACCAACGTGATGATGTGCTGTAGCCGAGGCAGCAAGACTTGTTTAATTTGTTTTTTTAAAAAAAGAAAGTTCTTTACAAAATCCTGGCAAATTTCCGAAATAACCTTCAATGTTTCATTAAAAAAAGTTTTACGTTTTACGTCTTCTACTTTTATCGTCCAACTCTTCCAATTCTTCGTGCGAATCTCCGTTTTCAGTATTCTCTTGGTCGGCTTCTGAAGCGTTTTCACTTCTACTTGGATAATCAAAATCCTCAAAGTTTTTACCATTATTTTTTGCATTTATTTTGATTGGCTTTTTTATACACGTCATATCAAAATGGTTTTAACTTATTAGCTTCGATCATTCTTTAACATAATTAATTTAAATACACGTTTTTCTTGAGCATACCGATAACTCGGAGTTTGAAGCTTTGACCTCTTCGGACATTTTTTTTTCTAGTCGGTAAACGATCAGTGACGTAAAACAACTTAAATGCTTGAAAATCATGTGCCTTTTTTACAGACAAATTCGTATTACCCAGGATTTCAGGGTTCACTGAAAATCTAAAAATCGACCATTTTATTTTCCTTTTTTTTTTCTTTTAAGATGCTTATTTTGTTATAAGCGTTTGATAAAATGAAGGTAAGCAGAAGGTTAATTTTAAACACTTAATCTTAAAAGAAATTTCTATCCTATTTATACAGAATTATTGATATACCTCTTTTACACGCAGATCATTTTTTACTCAAATTGATAGATCATCATGTGTTTAATGAGAGATCTCTTTCTGATTTCTGGAATTCCAGAGAAAATAAAATTGTTTTACCTTAAAACTTTTATTATATTTTTATAACTCCATTAGTTAGTTAATAGTTCTCACCCTTCACAAATAACCTTTATTGCTTTAAAAGAGTTTTTATTGAAGTTTACAAAAATAGGTAGAAAAAAACAACACCACTTCATTCACTATAAAGTAGATTTCACTTGACCTTAAACTGAAACTACTAGAACCAATTGCTTCAATCTCCTCTACTAGTAAACACCCTAACCTGCCTTTGGCCTTTGATAAAGATATTATCAATGATACTTTTATTTTCAAAACTATTTTCCCTTTTAATATTTTTAATAAAGATGAATACATTCCTATTGATAATAAAAATACTATAGAAATAAATAATCATGACTTTATCATTATCTTATATTCTACTTCATTGGCTTATGCAACCATTATTACTAAAGAACTGATAATAAATAAAACAATGAAAAATAGAAAAAAAATTGACCTTTCCTATTTCAAATCATCTGAAATTTATTGTTTCAAATTATTTATCTCACTCTAAAATTCATTAAAAATATCATTAACTTTTGTGTAAGATAATGTATTTAAGGGCTAAATATGCAATAAGTCAATTTAATTAGATTTATAAGGAATCTATATTGTCAACAAAGCAATTAATCAATAATAACAAAAACATGTGAATGACGGAGTATAATGATCTCTTAATTCTGAATTCTGAAAATACTGAAAATTCTATAAATTCTAAAAATACAAAAGATTTATATAATTTTACAGATTTTTCAAATACTGATAATAATCCTAATTTTACGAATTAAATAAAGTCTAGAAATATTTAATGTTATATTTATTCTTAATATTTTACTTTTTATTATTATTTTTATTATATTATATATTTTTATTGGTAATTTCTATTTGTATAGTATATGGATCACGTGATATAGCTGGTATTAACATTATTTTTACCAACATGAAAAAATTTAGAAAATATCTTATATGATAACTATGTAATAAATGGTATATGACGAATAATAATTTTTTACCAAAAAAATTCTAAGTCTCTAAAATAAATAGTAAAAACTAAAAGCAAAGAGGTGTGATACTGATAACAAATATACATCACATGATCTGTATACATACATCCTATGTAAACTTAAAGATTTTTATTTTTTATTATTTTACATATTTTTAGTATATTTAATTTATTTATATTTTATCTGTCAAATTAGTTAGTTTATAGCATAGTAATTAGTTAATCATAATAAAAAAAATTTTGTATACTTTTTTGCTTATGTTGTAAATTAACTCTTTTGCAAATATAAGTTTTAATATTAATAAAGGAATTAATTAAAGCTTATATCTTTTTACCTCTTTATATCTTTATATAATCTAATATGATCTTTATATATTATTTGTAATTGAGTTCATCATTTAAATGATTTAATTAAATTAGTTTATATTATTGTTTTTTAAGTCTTTATACTTGATAGATTTATTAAATTTAATATATAGATTTAATAAAATTAAAAATTAGACAGATTTTAATATCTTAATCGCAGTTAATCATAATTAGTAATCTCAAATAAAGACTTAAAAACGTAACTAACCTGAATTGAAGAATTTTATAGTAATAATATAGATAGCGATTATTATGAAATTTTTCAATTTAAAAATTAACTATTTTATAAATTATGAAATTCACAAAGAAAATTCAATTCTAGTAATGCATTTTTTAAATTACAAATATTTATTAAATTTAGAAAATAAAATAATCATATCCATTTTTTTTTAAATACTATACTATTATAAATATTTATATACAAATATGAGGACTTTAATAATATGCGTATATTACTTATAATATATTTAAAGTGATCAAATTATTTTATATAATATGATTATACTACATCTATAATAAATGTATTAGAGTATATCTATATATTTCACTTATAAATAAGCTAAATTACATAACAATATTTATATTAAGTTTACGAACCTCCTATATAATATATTAGTATATGATTTATAAAATATTATCTTAACAACTAAAGTCAAATTTTATTATATTCTGATCTTTAATATAAAATTTCATAAAAAAATTAAGTTTTATAATATATAATTTTTATGAAATTTTAGTATAATATATATGTTTTTTTCTTAAATAAAACCTTAAACTTAATACAAAAAAGTAAGAAAAAATATATATAAAAATAAAAAAAAACATATATTTTATAATTCTTTAATATATGTAAAAATCATAGATAAAATGTATATTTTATAATTCTTTAATAATGCAAAATCATAGAAAAAACATATATTTTATAATTCTTTAATAGATGCATAAATTACAGATAAAATATATATTATATATGTAATTTATATATAATTATTACTAAATTATAATTTATTAATTTATTAATATATATTTAAAATTACTTTAATTTAAATTATTTATTTATTTATTAATATAGTCTAATGCAAAAAGATTATTACTTCAAAATGATTGCTATTACATTTCTAATTAAAGTTAAGTATAATTCTTAATATTATGCAAATTTTTTATTTAAAAGTAGTGAATTGACTATACTTATCTTATGTACTATTTATATTATTTTAGGATATTTTTTTTTAATATTAAATAAAGTAGTATAATTTTAAAATTTAAGAAATATTAGTTATAAATATTTTAAGATTTAATATTTAGATCTAAAAGTAGTTTAAAATAGGATTATCAAATTTTAATAAGATTTTATATTTATTATTAAATATATGTGTTGTTAACTCTATCTTCAATCCATCAAATTTAGAATAATAATAACTTAATAACAAGAAGTAATATGTAAGAAATTACTAAGTTACTATTGAATAAATTCTATTATAATCAACCTTAAGTTTATAATTTAAATAAATAAATACTTTAATAATTTATTAGAACAATAAACATAATTGATATGTTAAAGGATTTTAATATGTATATAGTTTAGAAAAAGATTTCTTTATTGTAAAGATTGTATTATTAGCAATCCTTAACCTAGAATTCTAAGTCTTTGACTTGTATTTTTGAGTTATTACTATTATCTCACAAGAACAATTTTTATCCTATTTATACAAAATTACAATTATAAGAAGATTACTATCTAATACTATTTAATATAAAATAAATTATAACACTAAAACAAATACAAGTGATAAAATATAATTTAACTATGATAATAATATCATAAATAATAAAATAAATAATAATAATATATAAGATAAATATAAATAAAATAATGTTGAAAAGTTAAAAAATGTTAAAGATATTAATAATATTGATTTTTGTATTACAGTAGGAATGACTTCATATGGTATCAGTGTTACATATTTGATTCATGTTGTCATCGGGTTCGTTTTCGGTTATCTTAACTCAAAATTAAAATTATGGCCATGTGTACCGATTGTTACACGAATCACGAATTAATTACGGTTAAAAAAGGAAAATTTAAATATATTGATGATCTATTATATAATTGATTTGATTGGTCAATGCAAAATTAACCAAAAATGGTTAATTCGGTTAATTAACGGATCAAATGAATTTCTCTCATGCTAATTGGGTTCCTTACCCTGTAGACCATCATGTATAACACTCTCGACGTACTCAGTACGGCGCGAGAAGAAGAAGAGTCAAATATTGATAAGGAAATTGTTTCTCACAATACACAAAGTCCGTTTGAGGAACCAAAAGAAACACTGCAGTTGAAAACCAAAAATGAACCAGCAATTTCTGACGAAATCCTAGCGCAGTTGGTTGCAATGGGTTTTGAATTATCCCTTGCGCAAATTGCTGTGAATGAAAATAAGGGTTGTGGATTTGATGCTACTCTTCAATGGTTACTACAACAACAAAGTTATCAAAACGATAATGGGCATGACGAAGAAATAAAAGGTACTCATTTTTGAAAAATCTTTTCTGGATCATGCAAGTACCTTTAAGATTAACTTTTTTGTTTTTTGACTGATTTTTAGTACCTATTAAACATTCCACCGAAAATTTTTATTCAAAGAATGTAGAATCGAATCCTGCATTAAAGATAAAACTAACCCCTTATCGTCGTCCAATTTCTACGGCTAATGCTACACCACCAAAGAAAGGAATTTTGAAACCACCACCACCACCAAATACACGCTCACTTTGGAAACGTGATTGGTTATCCACACTTAATATCCGTCTACAAAATGCAGCAAATTCTGCCTCAACTATGGCAGCTCCCAATACAACTGCCTCATTCTTCTCTAGCGCGTTAAAACGATTGAATTCACCTACCACATTTTCGTATATCACCCAACAGGAGGAACTACAACAAATGCCTCAGCAGAACCAAAAACAGCCACCTCATGTAAATCCTACAACTCCTGCAGATCAAATTCCTCAATACAATTCGCAAAACTCCTCTCTATCATCGAATACTAATCTCCTTACTCCTAAAGCACTTAAGAGAGTCCGTTTTTCTGTAGCAAAGTTGACAGATGAGTATCCACACTCACCGATCCCTGGTGAGAGTGATAATAGTGATTGGGAAGATGAATATGATTTTCGGGAATGGAATGAAAAACAGAAAAAGACAAGTCAAACGTTACCTGAAGCAGAACAAAAAAGAGTTTATACACCTAGAGATATGATGAAATTTTATTTGGCTGCTTGTAGAAACAGAGAGGAATTCCCCGCTGACCGTTTAGTTGATATCTTTAAAGTATGTAAATATTTTATCTTTAAGACATTCCTGTAATATTTAAAATAGACGTTCAAAATTTTTATACAATTAGAAAGCATGCCAGCCAGGAGGTTCATTAAATGTCATTGACTTAACTGGTGACATTATTGACAAAAAGATTGCCGAACCTATAGCGGACATTCTCACTCTTGAATTTGGTTTACAAAAACTAATAATGGAAAGATGCGAGATTGAAGAAGATGTATGGTTGAACTTTTTTTTTTGATTAGATTAAAAAAATTCTGTCTTGTCTTACTAATAATTATTCTTAGACAATGAAAATTATATGTCATAGTTTACTTGTGAATGATTCACTTCCGTACCTTAATTTAAGTAACAATAAGAGGCTTAGAACGAATGGTTTCAATTACATAGCTGTTTATATCAAAAAGGTAAACTCCCGAAATTTATTTCTTTGGGGAAAAAAAATTTTTTTAATTTGATAAATTTTTTTTTTTTTAGTCTTTGACTTTGGCATATCTTGACCTTTCCGGTATTAATATAGATAAAAAGTCTGCTACATTTTTGGCGCAGGCACTGATACAAGGAAATAATAAATCCGGAGCTGTATTAGAGACTTTGAACTTGGATAATTGCGGATTAAAAAATAATGTGTTAGAAGTTTTGGGTTCGTCCTTTTTTTTTTTTCTTGAGTTAATTGTTCTTTTATTTATTATTTGATTATTTTCTTACAGGTCCTGGTATACGTCGTTCTAATTTGCGTAATTTATCACTTCGCTTTAATCGTATCAATCATGTTGGTGCGGTATGGATTGGAGTAATGTTGCGAGATTATGAAGATTTGAATTTTGGCACTAACAATGCACAACTTAGTCCTTCAATGCCGCCTTTTAATGAACAAGAAGAAGCTAGAGCCGAAAAGTTGCGAAGTCGAAAGCGCGGCATAGAAGTGTTAAACATTACTGGAAACGATTTAAGAGTTGCTATTTCTTTATTGCGTTGTAAATTAGTAAATTTTATTTATTATTTAAAATAGTATTAAATTATCCTTTGTTTTTTTATAAAAAAGAGTGGTATTCAGTATATTGCACAGGCTTTACGTCGTAATCGAAGCCTGAAAGAATTGCATATGCAAGAAAATCGCATAGATCCTAAAGGATTGGCTATTTTGGCGGATGGTTTGGTACGTCAAAAATCAAATATTGGGAATTTACATTGAGAAATTCATTTAATATTTATAATTATATTTTTTATATATATATATATATATATATTTTTAGAAATATAATCATACTTTGGAATTACTTAATATAAGTAAGAACCCTGTCGGTGGTCCTTCATCTGAAGGTGTAAGTATTTAAGCTAAAAAGCTAAAATTATTTATAAATTTAATTTTTCTTAATTATATGATTTTATTAGATTATCGCAATTCGAAATGGCTTATCATTAAATACCACACTTAAAGGATTATTTTTATCTAATATAAATTTATCATCCGAAGGTTTTATTAATATTTATTGAATTTATTTAATTTTTAAATTAAAACAATTGAGTTAATATTTTATTTTATTTTAATAGGTGCGATAGCTATTGCTGAATATCTTCCAGAAACAAATTCATTGGTTCATTTGGATTTGACGTCAAATCCAGATATTGACATTGCAGGAGTTTTGGCTTTAGCTGTATCAATTAAAATGAACCATAGTGTTCGTGTCTTGGATGTTAATGTTCAAGTAGGTTACCAATTTACTACATATGTTTGTTTATTTTATTCGTAATATAATTTAAAATATGTTGTTATAAAAGCCAAACGATAATGAAATGGCACGTCTTTCTCGTGATATTCTTCGCGCATGCGTAAGGAATACAGAATTGGCCCAAAAGAGTGATTCGGAGAATTCCGAGAATGGTTTCTTGTTAGCTGACTTTGAAACAAAATCACATTCTGTGTTATCAGGAATAACTGGTTCTTCGGATTTTGATGAATCATCAGAATTAAGTTTAGGGATATATGTGGAGGACCTTAAAAAAAATGTGAAAGTTGGAAAAGAAAATCTCAAAGCGTTCGAGGAATTATTAGCAACTGATGAAAAAATATCATTTACCGAAAAAGTAGAAGCTAATGAAATGATAAATGTAAGTAATAACAACGTGTGGAATTCAAATAATTTTTTATAATTTTTTAAACATTTCTCCTTATAGCAATTACATGACCAATGTAAAAACATTCAAGCGAAGATAAGACCATATATTGCTGCTGTCACAGATGAAAGTCTTCTTGGTATGATTTCAACAAACATTATATATAATTTTTAGAAAATTTTGTTTCTTATCCTAAATTTTTTTTTTCTTGTATTCAGAGGAACTGTTAACATTAAATGATAATTTATCAAATGCATTCCAAAAATATGAAAAAATTTACAATAATCACGAGATTTTCCAAAATCCAAAACCGATTACATCAGTGGCGGACATTACTACCGAATCAAATGACGACGATCACGATAATATTATTACTACTATTGAAACTTCTCCAATAACTATAGTTACATCGCCAACTTCACCATCTGTAACGTCACCAACTTTTTCAATCGGTGATTCTGACGATGATAGTGATTTCGATAATATAGCTTTATCTGAAGGAAGTTTATCATCAAAGAAAATTCCACCTTCATTAAAAATTGAATCGCTTTTGGCTTCTGATATTGACATACATAGTCAAAAAAGTCCTAAAAGTCCACTCGAAGAAATGAATAAATTATTGGAAGTTGAAGAAGGTCAAGTATTAAGAAAGGCGAGAGAAGTATTTGATCAGGATATTGAAGAAACGGAATCCAGTCCTTTAGATCAATTAAGTGGTGAAGAATTGAAACTACAGGTATTAAATTATTAAATTATTACTATTATTCAAATTAATATTATATATTAAGTTTTTTTTTATAATTGATAGCTATTGGATGAACCAAATTTATCTTAAAAGTTTAAAATTACCAAAAGAAAAAAAAAATTAATTTAATATAATGGTTTAATTAACTACATTAGTGATAATTTTTTTGAAATAGCATAATATTTTTAATATCTTGTAGATTATTTCTGTCAATTTAATAATTTATGTAATTTTAGAGAATTTTTTTTTTATCCACTCAATAATAATAGGCAAGTATTAAAAGTTTATTAAGCTTAGAAAAATTTGAATTATCAATGATTCAAATTTTAAACTTAAACAGCTTATGATTACTGAAAAATAAAATACTCCTTACTTTAGTTTGTAATTGATATTACTTACCATTATTATTACATTCTCCACTTATATTTAACTAATTTTATCATTTATATACAAATTTCCATCAAAAAAGAAAAAAAAAAGGAAAAAAGAAAAAAAAAGACTAATTTCTCAGTAATGTATAATATATATAATAAATATAATATAATATATATATATATTATTTCTTTTATATAACAAAAATTCATAATTCTTACTCACGCAAATGTCTTTTAAGTATCCAAAGAAATAAATTTGTCCAAGCCCGTCCAAATAAAATAATGCATAAACTACACTTAAAGCTTTAAATTTGCAAATTTATGTAATATAACTTGAATATATATTAATTTCTTACCAATTATTTACAAATTGATATATTTCCAATACCAATTTTCAACATAAAGACGAATTTTCGGAATTACTGTCCAATCCTTCTAATTATTATATTAGTAAATAAATAATGATGAAATATTGAAAAATTAGAACAATAGAAAATTCCTTCGCAACGAGGAGTTTATGAATTCGTACCTCTACGTCTATCAGTTCAGTGTCATTTTTTCTCCGTAATAAACAATAATCTCCCCATTTCAGGTTTCCTAACGTGTTGAATGTCACGCTATTATTAGTCAACCTAGCAGGTAAATAACTAATAAATTGCTTCAGTTTTTGCCAAGCAATTGGTGGCAGATAGAATGCTCTTGTAATTGAATTAGAGTTTTCTGCATCTAAAAAAGGCCTACAAATAACTTCACTCCATTGATCAGTTTGAGTTATATAGCTTTCTTCATAGGCATTATCTGATACTGTCCTTGTATAATCCATTTCCAGATCGATAATATAATCACACTGCGTTACATTGAACTTTAAAAAGCAATTCGATTTAATTTAAATTAAATTAGGAGAAAAAAAAAAGATGTAACTTACATATCGATCCACTTCTTCTAAATTGTAATTATTAAATCCTTCTTGAATTGTCCAAGTTCCTTCACGCTCAGCACTCAATTTCGTTTTGTTGTTAGAATCAACATAAGTTTTTTCTAAAAAATATTTTGGTAATTGTCTGTTGAAATCGGATTTTAAAAATCTCAAACGCACTCCTTCCGGTAAAAAGTAATGGCTCGGAAATCGGTACCATTCCTTTCCTATGCAGAGATTAATTGGATTATTTAATAAATCCACTTGTAACTGGCGAGCTGCAATTTGACTAGGAATCTCAACATAATAAAAATGTTTATAAATAGTCATTGGTGCACCATAGTGAAAATATAAAGCAGCGATGTGCGCGAATGAAATTGTTCCACAAATGACAATAATAAAAGTTGTAAGCAATTTCATGCAATATCTTCGAGCGCGCTTATTAAAACAAATAAAATAAACAAATTTAATAATTTGTTACAACCTTTAAATAATATATTTAAGTTACTTACTGAATAAGGTAAATGTCCATCGGATAAAAACACTAATGTTCGATCAAACCATCCTCTTATTAAAAACAATGCAACTGCTGAGTTTAGACAAATAAGAGGATATATTACAAACAAAAACCGTTCTTCCTTGTGCGGTTGTATAATAATTATAAAAAGCCATAAATAAAATGGCATAAGTCGAAAGGCGAGATAAAGATAAGCATATATTGGTCCAGCTGTCGATGTGGATGAAATACGTCCAGGATCGACTAAATAAGTAAGAATCTGCACAAATAAAAGGTTATGTAAAGGTTTAAAACTAATCCTTTCTAAATGAAACAAATTCTTCTTCTCTATAGACTTACTAAACCCGGTATGCTTATAAGAGCCATAAAAAACAAAAAATTAAAGTTCAGAAAGCCATTCAAAATATAAAAGTGCCATGGTTCAGTAGCATAACTGTCAGGACTTTTGTCTTTTCCGCCAAAAGCATTGTACATTACAATGTTTAATGAAACTATGGTGAATTTTTTATAAAAAATATAGTCAATTAAAACAAGAGGTATCTAAGGATAAAAAAAAAAAATTTTAATTTTATAATATCTAATAAAAAAAATAAGAAATAAGAAATAAAAATAGAAGTAGGAATATATACCAATATTATGCATGATGAAAATATGAAACCAACTATCAATCGTTTTATTCGCTCAAATCTGTTCTTGAGCGCGGCGGTTCGAAGAACCAATTCTTCGATAGCTGCAGGTATACCAACCGCTGCACTAAAAGGCCATGCTAATAGAGATCCTAGACCAACCCAAAAAATTGTACGATAAATTCTTCCTCCAGAAGTTGTTGATACCGGCTTAAGAGCATAAAAAAATGCTATCATAGTTGTATACATTGCAAAAGTCGAGGGGAGATACGCTAAGGGGAAAATTTTTTGATTAATAACATAAAATAATTTAACTTAATAGTAACTTTTAATTCATGTACCGATTGAAGCATTCCACATCCCAGCACTAATCAACATTGTGAGTATTAAATAACGGCCGACACGTGGGCCTAGATTATTTACTGCTGAGCGATAGAATAACGTTTCACAAATTGAGCAAATCACAGCGAAAATCACGCGTATGGCGTAAAATACTTTAACCTATTAATTATCAAAGAAAGTTAGGTTAAAGGACGTGTAAATCAATATCATTAAATAAAATAAAATTTCTTAATACCTTATCGTGATTGAATAAAAAGTTAAAAGCATTGCCAATAAGTGCATGTAACTGAATATAAGCCCAGCTTTTAATTGCATACGTCGGCGAATATTCCCACGTCTGCATTCCGTATCCATATTGTAAGTAATGCGTTGGTTCCCAATAATTAAAAACCTGTAATTTTTTTTTTTTTTAAAAAAAAAGAAGATTCAATATAAAATAGCGATTATCTATAAGAGTACTTTTAAACTTACCTCGTCACAATCAGCTATATTTGAGAGTAAAGCGGCAAATAATCGGACGAATAAAAAGGCGATAAAAGCCGTCGTCGCGAGTGGGCAATACGGTATTGCCGAACGGTGGTGATAACTATTAAATGAAATAAAAACATGCATTTAGCAAAAATTGGCATAAGCTACGCGATTAAGGTAATATCGTAGGCGTAAAAGGTTATAAAAAAAAAGATTTTGATAAACGAGGAGAATAATTAACAACTTAATAAAATTGTCAAACCAATGAACGCGTATTTCAACTACGCGTTTCAAATATAGTTTAATGAACACGAGCATACCTTATGGTGGCTTTTGCAGTCCGAGCAGACGCAGAAGAAGAACTTGATTTTGTTGAGCGAGTATCAGTTTCTATTCCGGAAGCAAATTTAGAGGAACTTGACTCGGGTTTTACGTTACGAGGCCTTGGCCTAGTTGAACCTGGTTCTTTTGTCATTTGCAATAATTTTGAGAAATTACAATTGATTTAAGAAAGGTGTTAAAGAAAAAAAAAAAATCTAAAGGTTCATGAGAGAAAAAAACAATATGTATAGAAATGTAATTATTATAATGTAATCTCAAGTTATTGAATTTTGATTGGACAACGATTATTCAAACAACATGCATATACATGGGGTTGACGAATTTCGCGATTATCACTTTTTAATTTTAAAAAGTCATAAGAAGGTTCATTTTATTACATATTATAATTAATATATTATAGTTAGCACAATTATTATATTTATAATATATTTTATACTGAAGATCAGAATTTTTTTGCCAAAAAATGGTTTTGTATAACATAAATTTTTAATATACTATTAATAAATTATAAAATTGTAATATAAAAGTTTTTTTTTATGATAAATTTATAATATTATATTGTATTTATATTTATAATTAAATTATAATAAAATTACTAATTAAAATAATTGTAAATTTTTTAACTTTATTATAAGATGATAAAGCCAAATATTAATTTTTTTTAAATTATGTAATCAATTTTAATTGATTTAAAATAATAAAAAAAGATGAAATAATATTTCAGAAACTAATTTATCAAAACATAGTTTTTTATATAGATATGTCATTTTTTTTTTTACATTTGAAGCTAAAGATTTTTATTCTAAAGAAAGTTAGATGAATGCTAAAATTTAAAGTTTAAGATATATATATTAAATATATTTTATTTAATAATTAATAATTTACTAAATTTTTATATTATTAAAGAATTAAAAATGATTCTTATAATTACTTCTTGAGTTGTAACTTAATTACATCATAAGCAAATTTAATCATAAATAATAATTCAATTATGCTATTTTTTTACTTATGATGCTTTTCTTTATAGAAAACAATAATTATTCTAATCTAAAGCATAATTTCAGATAACAGGACTTATAATAAAAATCATAATTTATTAATTTATATTCAATTTTTTTTTAGTGTTCAATTTTTGTAAATATACATGATATAATATTAACAATACATAATTTTATTGAATGAGTAATATGTAAAATAAAATAAAATTGTTTAATATTTGATTATTCTTTACTATACTAAAGCATTTTTAAAATCTACTAATATTTTTTATTTTTTTATTTTATTATCTAATAATTTATCATCTAATAAACTATTATTTTTTTCTAATTTTTTATCTATTTTATAGAATTCTAAATAATAATTACATTTTATTCTGCAAAATATTTATGATAAAAAACATAATTATATATAAATATTATATCTTCTTTTTTATCTAAATATTTAACATTTTAATTATAATTACCACTAATATTATTAGATAGTAGTTTGGTTATATAATATTTAGTAGATA